TTTAATAGCCATAACACTCTCTATGTGTCCATAAGAAATTTCTCAAGAGGAATAAACATGGAAAACCTTATAAAATATAGGTCTATTACTGTTAAACAATGGACAATCCACACACTTCAATGTGAGCAATGGACAACTTAGTGCAATATGTCTCATATTATGCTCTAATGATGTGACAGCTAAATGTAATTGGTATGTTCTAAATGACTCTCATTACAGTGATTACTTCCCATCTTCATTAATATCGATACTCCTTGTGTAACCCCAAACTATGCCCAATAAATTAAAAGATGGAACTACAACAAAGCCAACTGGACATGCTATCAAAACATTACAACATCTTGAAATCAAAATGATAATTCTGAAAAATCAACAATATTGATAATACCATTAAATCATTCGTAGATATCATCGTTAATGCTGCCAGACGTTTATTGGAATACATCAGATATCCAAAAGGTAGGAAGATGGTTTTCTAGAGGAGTAAAAGATAGAAGGCCATTAAGATGTCTAAACGACCGGTATAAGAAACACCCAAATAGAAAACCAAATTGAATTAAAAAATTAAGAGCTACAAGAAGGACAAGTAAAGAAAGTAGAGCCAAATCATGGATTGATTATGTTTCCCCCATCACGACCAACAGTAACGATTCCTGGAAAAAGATTAACTCTACACAAGGCAACAAGACGTTACATCCACAATCCGACAATAAACAAATTCTTACCAAACCAGAAGAAATTGTCAAAGAACTTGCAAATGATTTTGCCAAGAATTCTAGTGCACTGGACTATTCCGAGGCCTTTAGGAAGTATAAACCAAAAGAAGAAGAACATTCTCTCACGGATGCCGGAAGTAACCATGCGCCAGATGGCCATAACGATGAATAAACTGTGTGATACTTTAGAAGCCTCTAAAAACTCGTCTTCTGGACCTGATAATGTATAACCGAATTTACTTCTCAAGAAGCACTCAACTGAATTGCTTTACCACCGTGACTTCTTGGAGCACATTAAAGGAAACCGGCCAGCGACTCCAGCTTCATTAATGATAATAATTTGTTCAGAATGTACTAAAATGCCTGGAGGTGGCTCATGGACAGCGCGCTAGCTCCCCGTGGGGTGGCCCCGGGTTCCATTACTTGTAGGGGCAAAAATAAAGCTTTAGCGTTCTAATATAATGGCCTCGGTTTCTATATCTGTGTGAGAAAAGAAGTGCTCCCACAGACGACATATATATATATATATATATATATATATATATATATATATATATATATATATATATATATCGTGTACCTGAGAAGGTCACAGCAAGATGGCCGAAACGTCAGTACAATTGACCGAGACGCGGCTCATCCCGGATAGCCAAGAATACATTGACTCCGGCCGCAGAAGCCTACGAACCCAATAATTACACTCTTTTTCGGTATCAGGGTACTACAATACAATTGTTTTAGGAAATCGCTGTTTTTTGCTGCAGCATTACATAACGTTCTCTAATAGAACATCATTGAGAATAAATATCATTAGCAACCCTGTAATATGTTGTCAAGTGAATATTATAGGTATCGACAGGGAACGGTAGTAAAAACCTTATTGCTTCACGTTCAACGCGAACAAATTAATAATGTTTATTACTTCTGGCATCCGTTCTTGCGTCGAAATGTGTTACAAAAACGTGCACGCAGAAAAGGTGTTTTTCCATAGTGGACTCCGTAATATCAAATAACACAATTCTCACATAACTTTTGGATTAGCCTATGGATGTTAATGTTAATCTCATAATGGAATGTATCTCGATTTATGATGTTCTTTTGAAGCTTGATACCCGCAAACCGGTTTTTTCGCAGCATTTGGAAGTCATACATGTGACGCGAGTTGCAGCATAACGTGTGTTGTGCACTGCCTGTGTATCTGATGATTTTTCCTAGAATAATCTATAAAATTTTAATTTTCAATTTCCATCTTATTTTTGTTTCACGTACTCCTGGGTCGGGGTAATTTCCTAATGATGCAACAGTAAGGCACTAGGCACTTACAATAAGGAATTTACAGATTTGTATTGATGGCGTCATATAAAATGTCCATCATCTTTTCATCTTGGGTTAGTGTTTTATTTAAGAAGAGTTGTATATTAAATGTTTAATTTGATATTATAAATATATTTTTGTAAAAGATGTAGCACTTATATTGTTAGCAGGAAAATAAGTATCGACCACCGAAATCAACATGGCAGATCAATATGGTTCATTCAAAGTACTAATGTATACACTAGAATGTTAGTCATTATTGCATTCAATAGGAAATTATATACACAGGATAATCGGGTAATCTACGTAGAAAAACAAAATTCTTGATGTATTTGAATGGAATTTTGTTGAATATGTGTATGTTCTAGTTGACATGACAGGTTGCAGAAAATACCAATATAATGTCTTTGACAAGCGCAATTTCTTTATCGACAGGGAGAAAATTAGGAAAATTAGTAGTCACATTTGCAGTTTTAAACCGTGTGAGGGTACAGTGTGAGTTAGATTTTTTTCTTTTGCCTAAGACTAATCGACGCACCACTGATCAATAAGAAGTATCGAAACTGCAGAATTGAAATGTGGAAGCAAGGCACATAAACGTTCTGAGCTCTATTACAATGGATTTGGAGCAACGAAGATATAATCAACATTCAGTTTAATTTAATGAAGATTAGTAAAATGAGATTTTGATGTATTCCATCACATTTCACGCATAAATATTAATTAAATGTTTACCATATTTTAATATATCAAATTCAAATACACCAGGGGGCAAGTACTGCAACATCCCGATTGCATTGTACAATTTATTTCTTCGTGCAGATACAACACATATAGACAGAATACCACACATGATTACACTGGCAGAGTCATGTGAGACACGCACGCCCAGCCACTGAGAGAACCAGGGACCGGAAACGAAACATCAGTACTGTGTGTACCCGCCGAGGGCAGTACAACAAGCCTAGATGCGGGCTGGCATCCCATCATGCAGGTGGCGAATTGTGTCCTGCGGTTCACTGTTCCACGCCTCCTGCATCGCCACGCGCAGCGCAGGCAGAGTTGTAGGGGGAATTGCAGCAGGGGTCAGGCGTTGGACCATCATGTCACACACATGCTCGATCGAGGACAAATCAGGCGAGCGTGCCGGCCAGGGCAGATGACGAACATCGCGGAGAGCGTGTTGCGTAGCGCGGGCAGAGTGTGATCGGGCATTGTCCTGCTGGAGTAGCGCACCACCCTCTCGTTGCACGAGAGATATCAGCACAGCCCCCACAACGTGCTGGACGTATCTGGCGCTGGTCCATCCACAAACATCAAAGACGAACGCGCGTTGTAGCTGATGGCATCCCACATCATCAGTCCCGGTGTGGCTCTACGTGACGTGGACGAACAAACTCCGGACGCACTGTGCGACACCGCACACGCACACGGCCATCACTGGCGTGCAGGTAGAAGTGGCTATCATCTCTAAACACCACTGCTCGGTATTTTGTCTTCCAGTTGACCCGCACATTGTACCACGCCACGTGCCTGATGATGGTTCGGCGAGAGTGGCAGTCGGGCTAGCGGAATGCGTGATTGTAATCCTGCAGCAAGTAACCGGTTCCCAACGGTGCGTGGAGACACATTGGGGACCACTTGTGCCTGTATGTCGGCGCGGGTGGCCGTACAGTCTGCCCTCACGAAGCGTCGATCTTGACGTTCGTCAGTGCTCCGCAGTCGCCCCGAATTGGGTCTACGGCTACGGAAATGCTCGTCTACCCATCGTTACCAGCACCGCAGACGGACGTCGCACTTTGGCTCTCGTGGTCAGCAGTGCGCCGAAGGACCACTCGGCTTCGCGCCGGCTGACAATCCGACGCCGCTCCAACTGGTTCAATTGCTCAAAAGACGAACGAGTGTGACACCGTGGCATACCTGAGTCCCGACGTGACCTAATCGCAGTGGACAGCTCCTTTTAAAGCCGCGGTTTAGATGGCGCATCCGGGCCAGTTCATCACGCTAACCATTACGTCAGCAGTCATCTGTCCATCGTGAAATGTTAATCATGGCTACTACCAAGTCCATCCCTAACGTCACTTATCGCCTCTTGATTTCTCGTGCCATTCTCGGTGTTGAAATATTTTTTTCCCCGACAGTATAATTTTTAATTTTTAGACGTACAATGTTTCTTTGTTCAGAGAAAAGAGTTGCAATTGAAAAGGCGAGGAATCTGTAGATGTGTTTTATGCGCAAAGACCTTTCATGTTTACGCCATTATCAAGACGCAACTTTATTTAGTTGTTATTGAAAATTGTGTATTGATAAGATGTAATTAAATGAAAAAAGACATTTACTGATTTGTACACGTCATGTCATAGGAACGTATTTAAGTTTTTAATTTACATTTTCTTATATAGGGAGCAAGCAAACTTAGTGCACCACCAAGCAAACTTAGTGCAAGAATTTCATAATAGAGAGTACACTCCCACTGTAGTTCTCAATTAATCAAATCATATTACTAAAATTTCTAAGAATCAAGCATATTACATTATCGGATCAGAAATGTTAGGAAATAAATATAGCAATATGAAGGGGTTTTATTTTTATAGAGGTTTGAATTTAACTTTCTAACATCGGGATTAGAATCTTCTGGCTTTTCACACTCAAAGGCTTCTCCTAGTTTGAAAATTTTAGTTGCTGGAGGGCGAGGTTGAAAATTAAACCATTTATTTAACAGGTATTTAATGCAATAGCCAACTGTGGGTAGATCAAACTCTATGAGTCATTGCTTGCTATAAACATATCACTGTAACGTAACTGACTTTGAAAATGTCCGATAATAAATATTAAATCAATTGTCTGTTTCTTTCTTACTCTAGTATTATTTTTCTTTTGCATATTTTGTTAAAAATAGCCCGGGCAATTCGATTTTCCTTGTTATACTTTTTGTCATGGTAATAACATAAATTTTGTTTTGTGCTTCAGATGCCGGAATGTGAACGACGCCACCAGAGACATTGGTTTTACATGTAAGTTCACTAATATTAGAAACTGAGTTTTATTATCGTATTGCTTGGTACTTCGAATTCAGTATCTAGAAGCTGAAAATAAACATTTCTCAAAATTAAACGCATCGCGTATTTCCATATTGGATTTACTATTTTGAAAATTATATAAATATCTTTAATATTGTATTCTACTGAAAAATAGCATTTCAATTGTCGAATACAACAATAAAAATAAAATGTCTGCAGAAGATATACAGGCAAATGTTTTTTAAACGATTTTGAATATGAACTGCGCAACATCTTTAGCCCTGGAAAATGTTATTTGCAAGACACGATGAATATCTTTTCATCGTGTACATCGTATCGTACAAATTTCATGAATAGGTATAATAGGTTGTATTATATCACTTGTTTATCCCATAATTCATAACTCAAAGAAAATTAATCAGACAAGTAAAACTGCGGTATTAGAATGTTTAATGAAGTTTTCTGAGGGAGAATATATTGTATAATCTTCATAGAAAACAAAATAAATCAAGAAACAAAAAGGAACATGCATTTTCATAAATAATATCACTTTGGATGATAATGGGTTTGACGTTTTAGTGGATCAACCCATTACATGACGCAAATAGATAATTAAGAAAACAGGATATATAAGAATTACTTAAAATTGCTACGAAAAAGTGTACTTGGAACATGATTACTTAAAAGACATCTTTAGCTACAATTGAATTGCTTCGATTCGGGTCATAACGGACGGGGAATGTCAAAACTTTAACGTACGCCCGGCGATAAGAGTGGCGTTTCGTTCTTCTGCTTGGCTGTGTTTGATATATCAGTACAATTACATGTATCACTGCGAAAACGATATATCAGTACATTTTTCATATCAAAACTTGCGCGTCACGCATGAAAATATCCCTCAAATACAGCGTTTAAGGGCCTGAAACAAGCCTGGCACGTCTGATATTTACTTGAAAACATAACTATATTTCCAGTCATTAACACATAGAGCCAATATTGAGAATTTGAGTATAAATCCTACATCTTTAGGAAAATGTAGAGTTTACGTCTTAATGTAAATACGAGTACGTAAACTAAGCAAAATAAGCAACAAATTCGTAAAATGATATTTTCTGTATTAATATGTACTACTACATTAATAGGCACTTGCCTAATCATAAATATTAGAGTTTGTATTAGAGACTTAATGTATAGGAAAATTATGCTACAATAACTGGAATTGTAGAAAATTGTTTTCCGTTTGCACTGCACATACGTAGTTGCTTCACGGAGGCGTGTGACGGTATTGTTCTCTATGATAATGTCCTGATCTACTAATTGGGAAAACAGCAGTTCATGTACGGCAACGAAGAATTTATTTGATTTTCCACTATCATTTTTAATAAAACAAGAAAAAAGTATGTGGAAAAGCTCAGCGCAATAAATGGTTTAATTTATTTAATACAAAATCTTTGATAGTGTACTTTTTTAGCTTTCTCACGTGATAGTGTTAGTATTTGTCTCAATCAGTTTATGAACAAGAGAGTTTTAAAAAATGCAGTTAAATCAAAGCGTTCTGCAATTTGAGAGGAAATGTCTTTTAGTGAAATTAAAAATTGTAATTCCAATAAATGCTTTTACATGTGAAAATTATCGATCATTCCTCCGGCAAATTTCAATTTTAAACTAAGGAATATCACTCCACTTTAAGAAGAGACTCTTTGACGTCAGCTGCTTACTCTGAACGATACAAGTACAGAAAGTAGACGAGTAGATAACATAGGAGTGATAAGCACTACGAATTAGAAATACATTGAAGATTGAATATCATAACATCTTAATTGAAAAGGAAGATCTGTACACAACAGTTATTTACTGCCAACTAGATCTCAACAAGGAAATGAGTCTAGGACCTGTTCCGAATTTCCTAAAGCAACTCGCATTAAAAGACCCAGATCGCAGAAACACGCGAAACCAAATTAACTCTTATTCGTGCAATTAGCCTTCGCCGTGCGAGTGTTGACGAGACCGGTTCTGACAGATTCCGAATTCCAACTGTAGCACGTCCTCGCAATAGATTTCCCTCTCCTTTAGGGGAGGGCTGCACGACGAGTCCGCTGGGCTCGCGCTTTCCCTCTCTCTCCCCCCTCTCTCTCTCACTCTTTGCCTCTCCGCGGCGCACAGTGGGCTGCAAAGAGCTGTGGCTAAGGTAATAATGTTTTAATACTGCAAGTGATCGTATGCTACGTGACCGTTTAGCACAAATACGAAAAGAATAATGGACGTCATCTCAGTCGACTTAATATTCCCTTGATGGAGATGACATACAATTATACATATATATATATATATATATATATATATATATATATATATATATATATATTACGAGTTATAATTATCAGTATTGCAATTTAATATTATAATTACGTGAAGAATACCGCATTAGAATTCCAACAATACAAATATAATATGCAAATATAATCTGTGGTGCTACAACAGCCCACACTTTGTCGCAGGATTACTAATTGTTGCAACTCTCGAAAATCCAGAGTCCAATCATCATGGAACCTGTGTGGTTTTAAGCATCCTTTTTTCATTATCCCTGAAAAAAAAATTGGAGCCATTTTTGAAATATTTTTTATGACTTGTATTAACTTCAGTCAGAAATTACACGAAAGCTACTAGTTAAAAACACTGTACCTAACTATTTTAATTAAATTTTTAAAACGATTTTAAGAAAAAATCGCTATCATCTATAATGTACTTTTGTAATGTTAATTCTTTGCCGTTTTCCAAAACAGAAAGTACCCCGAAAACGGGACTACCATCAAATTTTTTAACCTTCTTTGCTACATACGAGAAAACATTTTGATGAAGAAATGGAGCTGTTCGTGATAAAATATATATTTCTTAAATGCCTATATTTTTCGCAAAATTATCCGAAACCTTTTCATATTTTCAAAAAAATATGCTTGACCCTTTTTTCGTAATTATGTTTGAACAATAGATTTTATTAAGAAAAATCTATCTTTAATATGTAGTTATAAGCATGTTTTTCTCTCTCGGGAGTTGACGCTGATGTTTCGCCCGTATGGCGAAATCCGGCGCCAACAGACCGTCGACCTGCGAGGTTTTCCCCAACTAGGTATCTCCCACCAGCGGGGCACCGCCCCAGTCGAGACGAGCTGTAAGCTCCCGACCGGTCTCACCGGCAGTGTGGTAGTGTATGCATGTGTGTGTGTAAGTAAGGGATTGAAATAGGACAAGGAAGAGGAAGGTGAGATCGCAGGCTGTCCGTGGCCCGTCTATTATGGAACTGATCCGGCATTCGAATGGTGTTGATTAAAGAAATCACGGAAAACTACCGATCGGAGCACCTGGTCGCTCGAATTCTCCTCCAAACAGCTACTGAATTCGACCTAACAAGCTAGTGTCGAAAAATACTGACACCGTCGGGGCTCGAACCTAGGTTCTCCCGGTCAGAGGAACTGCAATATCATCAGTTGATGCCCTGAGCCATCTCTTACCGTTTGAAACTTTAAAAGTTTTGAATTTTTTTCGAAATTTAGAGATATCAGCGAAAATTAACATATTTAAAACATAGTTTACGCTATGTAAATAGTTAAACTAGTGTTAATACACTTACTTTCCCGCCATTAGTAATAGTTATGTAATACAATTAATCCACCATTCTCTCTCTTTTTTTAAAAAAAAAACTCATTTGAAATCATTGACCATTTGGTGCAAAAAAATAATCGACCTGCGAGAAATTAAAATTATTATAAGTTAATAAATAATATAATACTGATAGCGTTGGCAAACAAATAGATCGAAAAGTGTATACTAGTAATAATTAAAGACTATTGTATTGTAATAGTTTACTTATATTGTTATAAAATTATTCGTTTTTATTATCGCGAATGAAAGGTAGCCGTCGTTATCGCCTTTTCTTATCTGTGCGGCGTTAAATGAATGGGTAACAATCTACAATGATCCTCATGTAATCGTATTCCCATTTAACACAACATTAAAAATCACAATCTAAAATAATGTAACTTAAATATAATACAGATAATTATATGAAAATGAAATATGAAATAATATATAAATTTAACTTGTGTAGCATCCAACTCCTAACAAAACAACTGCGCTTCATAACCACTCCAAAATCACGATCAAGAAGCGCAGGCTTTTCAGAGGCAGCGACTAGTTTTGACACCCAATTTCTTCAAAATTACTCATATTCTCGAAAAATTCAACATGACCTTATGTTTTTGGTAAACATAGTATTTTCAGTCAACATGAGACCTGCGCCATTTTCTTAAACGTCGTTCAGACTATTTAACAACAATATTTACACAAAATCGATTGCGCCGTATACGATTTTGAAAATGTTCCAGGGACTTCATGTAAAGTACCCACCAAAATTAAAATATCGACTTCAAATTCAAGAAGCCCTGAATTCAGTCAGACCCATTGGCGAATGTTTGGAGAAAATTGGCAGAACGGTTTTGCCACTAACGTTCACAGACGGACGGCAGACGTTTTGCCGTCAATTGATTTTCCGGTATCAAGGACCCACAAAACATGGATTTTGGCTATACTACGTGTTAGAGAATTATTTTATAAATTTATCAAATATATTTATCCACTTTTTCGTAACCAGGGTCCTGTAATAAAAGTTTTGCTTCCAAAAATTCGCCTTTTCATCTGCATTACAGCATTACATAACTTTCTCTTCTTATATATTTCCTTCTTAAGCACGAGAAAAAGAAAACTAATTTAGTACATTTAGATAAGAGATTCTGTCACTTTTACTTTCCCGACCTTGAATTGTTAAGATGTGATTTAACGAAAAAGTTGCCAATTGAAAGAACTACATTTTACTCTTGAATGCAGCTACGAGCACTTGTCACTACTCAAACTACAGCATATTGAAAACAAATTATTTGAAATATCAGAAAATTCAGTTTTTACTCAATTACAGTAAAATAAATATTACCATATCTTCT